AAGCATTTTCCATCAGGACTGAATTTTGCTGCATAAATTTCACCGCTATGACCACTGAGCAACATTATTGGTGCCAACAAATTTGACGTACGTGAAGGTTGCTGCAAGTATGGTCGCGCACTTGGCACAACATCAACACGAGCTCGTTTAGGACCTAAAAATCATTTTTATCAAAAAATAAGGCCCTCAAATTTGTCGACTAAAATAGTATGTCCACTAAAATTGGAGAATTTCCGAGTCTAATAGCGGAGTAAGGGAACCATCGATTTCCAGTAAGATAGAGCGTATTTCAGCTTACCGCATCATGCCGGCCATTAAAAAAGTTTTACTTTAAATACCGATTATTTCTTCACGAATAAGTAGGACAGCAACTTATCGCAACCTTAACTGTTAACTTATTAGATTAGTGTGTATGTGTGTGTACGGCGTCGCGTCCTATATACATATTTATTAATACACAGTACGTTAAAGAGATAATGCATATAAAGGTGGTGAGGTTCTGGGGAGGCGAAGCTCCCCAGAATAGGAGTATAAGTTAAATAAAAATACGTCGCAGTGGTGCATGGGTAGTGGCGATCCCGGCGAAGGAGAGAATTGCTTTTATACCCCATGGGACAAAGATTGAAAGTTCAGTGAGGGTAGGGTGGCCAAAGTTTGAACTAGGGACAGGGGTATTGCGTCATAGTAACGCAGTTGTTCTTTAACCTATTTTTAAGAAAAAAAACATTAATCATTATTTGATCTATTACACGACAAACTGAAGAGACCTAAGACTCAAAGTATCTCCGGCTTCGGCTGAACTGTCTTCAGCTATCCCCTAACAAATCGCAGAAAAAGTGCTTGATATTCACAGACGACAGCTATTTGAAATCTAACAAGCAGATTGTAGCAACCAGGTTGACCTTGGAAACCTAAATGGCTAAGGGGCGATAGATTACAAGATGAGAGAAGGAGATAAGAGTGAGATAAGACGTTTCGGTCCACTAAGTCATATAAGCCGTAACTCTCAACATCGAGCGACAGGACCTCGTCAGTATGAGGGTGCAACAAAATTACAGTTCAAGTCGCAAACGCGAAACCCGGATTTATTCCTGGAACTTTTGCCCAAAAAAAAAAAATTATATTTTTCCCCATGTCAGGCAAACTCTTTTTGTTAAGCCAAAAAAAATGTTTCTATCTTTTAAAGAAAAAAAAAGATGTTTTTAGCAAAAAAGATGTTTTTTTTTTTACATACCGATGACTGATAGAGGCATTGCCGGTCTTTTGAAGCCATCGTTGCTCTGCACAACGTCCGCCATCTGCAAAAAAAGATTAAGAACCTGAAAATACTAGAAGTAACAGTAATTCAGAGTAATTCAGACCTGTGGCCAAAAGTTTTGGTATTTGAACTGCTACTAGTCCGGATAAAGTAGCAGTTCAAATACCATAACTTTTGGCCACAGATCCAGACTGGCAATAGCCCGGGAGATTAGGGGAGTGCCCGGTAAAGCGTTGAAACCAATCCAAGATCATGGGCCGACCTAATATACTACGGCGAATTTAGACCAAACATAAGAATCCAGATTATCAATAGGTTAAGACCCCAGATCAGTACTAGATAAAGAAAATGGAATAGGAAGATTCAAGTTTAATATTTCATATGGAATATGCTACTATGGGAGATAATGTTTTGCAATATGTTTTATAGGTTCCAGATCCAGATTAGAATCAGATCCCAGATGTAGTGGAACTTCCAAAACTTTGAATAGAAACTTTTACAGTCATACCTAATCTTGTTGAGCACCAAAATTGGACCTGGTCAATGTAAATATTACGTCTGAAATATTTTGCACGGCATTTTTGAACCACGATAATGAGACACAAAACTCATACTTTGAAAAAGTTTTATTCTTAAGCCATTAAAGTTTTTTGCATGGCCACGAAAAAAAAATAACATTTTCTCAACACGAAAAAAAGAAATTTCGAAAATTTTTTAAAATTTAAAACCCTCTTTTTTTTTCAAAAATTTTTAACTCTATCAGAAAACAAGGCTTCCAGAGCTGTTTTTTCCGAACAAATCAAACCTAAAAAAAAAGGGAAAACAAGCAATTTTTTTCCTCTGAAATCTTTAACCCTAACAAAAAAATTTTTTTCTAAGGAATTAGCTATTTCTTCCGAACAACTCAAACCTAAAAAAAGGAAAAAACAATTTCCATTAAAAACGCCGAAATTTGCTAAAAAAAAACGCCAAATTAATAATTTAAAAACATCGTCCTTGAAGCAGCAAAACTTCTTGTTCACTTTTAATAAAAACCGCGGCAGAAATGTAACTACAATAAGGTGTTTTTCGACTTTGGACTTAAACAAATCTCCTTAACTCCCCTCATTTTCACTTTCAAAGATTGAAGATAAAAAGATAAAAGGGTGACGATGTTGAAAGAACTGAAGGAAGAATAATCGCCCGTACTAATTCTGAGGCAAATAATAAGAGATAATAAAATTCACATTTACGCAAAAATCACGATATTACACAAGTAGTTAATAAATCTGCTCCTGTAAAAGCAATAGCAGAAGCACAACGGTATGCATTCCAGTAAAATCTAAATAAGAATAAGGTCTTCGTAAACGCTGTAGATATGACCAGGAAGTATCATCACTGCAATTCAAGCTGCGGTCGAATTAATTTCGCTTTTACTTCATTGGTTGACGCAAAACCTAAATCAATTTATCATTTAGCAAAACTACACGCACAAAAATATCCGAGGATCATAACAAAGCTAAGAATGAAAAGTGAAATTATACCAGTAAGACCACTAGTAAGTACGGAATCCCAAAGACCGGGAGGTCCTCGCACAATTGAAAAAGAAATAAAACACACTCCATCAGATTAGTGATTTACAGTAGGTTTCAGTACCATTTACAGTAGGCTGCAGTAACACAGTAGTTTACAGTACTACAGTACCACTGGGAGGTCACCAGTGAGGTGGAGAGACCCTATGGTAAGCCTGTTACGGTACTACTTGGTCTCGGACAACGTAACAACGAGTTGAATGGAGAAGTTGCCAGCTGCTTAGATGGCGCAACAACGATTGTCGATGAAAAACAGCTGCTCAAGTACCCAAATAAGTATCGGTGCCACCAATAACAAAGTAATAATTTCAAAAAACCATGTTTTTATCCTTACTGATAAACAGTGGAAGTAAAATTCGTGAGAAAGAAAACGACCATTTAAATAGCCTTGGAAAAAAAGGGCGTAAAAAGGAGGCATAAAAGACTTCAGATTGAAAATTTAGGTATTGAAATACAGCAAAATAAGTTTGTAATTACACAACTATAGCCACAAAGGTTCCTGTGACTGTCAGTACTGGAATACAGCACAATTTTTTAACCTGCAACTATAGCCACAAAGGTCCTCGAAAAGAAGTTTTCGAGGGCAACTCCCCCATCCCAGTGGTCTACGGCAAAGTTATTAAGCGCAAAAAACTAGAACACTTTGAATTCGAACTGCAAGTTCTAATGATAATAAACATTATTATTAGTTACCTGTTCCTCCTCGTTGCAACTCAATAATATCATCCTCTTTCAATGGCTTTCCATTCACTGGATCGATCATCTCTTTCCTGATAATTTTTTCAACGCATTCCATTGTAACAACACATTGACTGCAATAGGAAGCTTTATTACAAATCCGGAAAATCTCAAGGTCATTGGTGAGAGTGAAAAGAAGGACAACCGGAAAATTCATGAAAAACAAACGCATGTGAAATTCCCCCAGTTCAATCTTTGGACACTCTACCTCTGTCAGAGTTTTGATCTGTGACTACCGGGTTATAAAAGCACTCCCCCCAACATCGGCTTGCTTTTAAGCAACCCTAGTTAATACTGGCATGTGCTACTATTTGAGCTAATTCTGAATGCCTTCGCTTTACATATAAAGTGAATACAATGGGACCTTCCCATTGTCTTTAAATGTCATAAAATTTCGCACGGTCCCTGGAATTTCCTTTCCATAATCTTTCGCAAACACAGCCAACTGTGTTCAAAACGAGAATATACAGGGCGAAACGTGGCATACCTTGTTTTCAGATATGCAC